TACGGATTCATCATCAGAGACAGGCAGAGAGCAGTGTTATGTAAGATTAGGGGATGTTGAACTTCGTACATCAATTTTCAATAAAACTCACAAGATCCCTAGGGAACCCATTTGCAGATGTTTTTTGGGAAAATCAGTTCATGCTTCTACGAGGGAATGCTGTATGAGTAGACTGCTACCTCATATTGTGTGATAATAAACCAGTATGTAGGCTTCGGTGCGCGCCTAATTAGTTGGAATGTGTTACTTTAGGGTAAGTGTCGACAACGTTGAACCTTTATTGAATTTGAGGATGAAAGGGTCTGGTGTAAGTCAGTTGCGACAACTGACAATATTACTCCGACCATTGAGAAGCAAGTCGTTAGTAATAAGGGCTCTAAGGAAAGTCAAGAGAGACACAGTGGGTTCAGACTTAAATCTCGATGGAAATTTCTCTTCCCTATACGCTTAAATAATATTTGTTTTGTTTCTGCTGAGGGTATTCGCCGACACCATGTTCCCCGGGACTCCTGCCCGGAAATAGAGAAAGCACTGCAGTCAGCAATAGCGTAAGAGGGCCCGGTCTGCAGTGTGTTTTTTCGGTAAAAATTCTTATTTTCTGAGGCATGAAGCGATGCATGGACTTTAAGTCTGGAGATTCTCCGTCTTCTATCTTCTGAGGTACCTTTCTCAAAATGAAGAGAATGTAGACTGTCTAAGGCGTTTTTTACAGTAAAAAATAGGACAATTATAAGGAAATGCACGAAAATGGAAGCTCGCTCGATCAGAGGCTACACAGGGCAGTTCCTACAAACGACCTAATCAATAACCAAGTAGTCCCAAATCTTGGAGAGAATGGCTTTGGAATCAACTATTTTCACCTAGCTTAAGCTAGACAACTATCTTATTGGAATGCAGGCCTATTGACAAACTCTACGCGCAATGTGCCGAGTCGCATCTAACAAAGGATTTTGAATTGGTTAGGCCACGGTCAGCTTTCATGTACACTGAATGTCGAAGGACATTCCTTCTGCAAATGCGCCGAGTTCAAACTCCTCAGAGAGTATACTTTTTCTTACCGATCAGAAGTGACACAATACGAGAAGAACGTAAAGAACATAAAACCAGAAGAGCACCCAGCGCGTCACAACTTCTAGTCCGAAGATTTATATGTTAGGCAAGAAGGCTATTCTTAAAAAGGACTCGGGATATGGCGACAATTATTGCCCGCGTGAATTTATACGTGCTGCCAAATATTTAGTAATTTGTCTCTTTCATTGTATAACCTGTACTCTTCTTCTGAATCCTCCCTACGTTGCCCATGAGGTATTACTCATTACGATTTCTAACAAACTTTCTATTTTGGTTCCCTCGCATAAATTAAGTACCTACTTTTCCGTACTTCTTCTGTGAGAGGAAGTTTATTTGTCAGTTTTGCGAATGGAATGACTGTTGAAATAGAATTTGGTATGGATGAATTATGTAGCCGTCTAAACAGGAACAGGAGCGGAACCACCCACAATACCTGCGGCTTTACGCCAACTTCCGGGAAAATTAGGTTTGGGATTAAGGTGAGGGTGAGGATTAAGTGTAGGATTAGGTTGAACGTTAGTGTCAAGGCGAGGGCTGGAGGCACGGTCAGGATTATGTTATGAGTTGAGGTTTGGACTACTGGTAACTATAGGACAAAGGTCGGCAACCTTTTTGACTCAGAGAGCCAAGAAAGCAAATATTTGATAATATATTTCCGTGAGAGCCATATAATATATTTTAAGATTGAGTTCAATTAAATGTGAGTATAATATGCCTCTGGATTTGGCCATTGGAGGAACCAAAATCACAGAATGCGAAGTTTCTTATCACAATTTTATCTGGGAGAGCCAGATGCAATCATCAAAAGAGTCACACCTGGCTCGCGAGCTATACGTTCCCGACCCCTCCTGTAGGGTTTAGTTCAAGGTTATGGCTACGGTTGGGATTAAGGTTACCGTTTAATGTTAGAGCTAGCGTTAGGGTTATATATGGGAATATTTACCCTTATTTTAATGTAACACGAAGCTACCTGTTTTACGTCGGCGGGGTGGTTCTTATTCCCGTATCTTGTTCAGGCGGCCACAGAAGTCATCCTTACTGAGAGCTTATTATTCATTTCCATTTTCTCATCGACTTCACTCTAATTCTTAATTTTCGATAAATTTACTGAGGGCTTGTGACAGAGAGGAGAGAGAAAGTACCACACACCTTGTGATGGGTGAATCTAGGCAAGTGGAGAATCAACGACACTGCCCATCGACAAACGCGAAACATGTTTTAGAACGCCTCCGTCCTTCTGTCCCAAAATGTTAAAAACAGGACGTTTGATGTACAACCATTTGGGCAGCAATACAATTTAAGGACTTTAAGGACACAGAATGTACAAACTGGTGGCAATATGTAGGTCGTATTTAGTATGCCGTATATTTGTATTCAATTTAAACAAAAATCTCGCCTGTACTATCTACTTAGTGCTCTGAGTGTTTATGACTTACAGTAGATTGCCTAACTCATGAAGTGTGAACATGAAAATCTGAGTGGGGATTTAACACACATTGGAGGTTGTTTATTTTGTTCATTGAGTTAACTTGCGGTGCAAAATTCTGTTTACTAGAAAAGAGGGCAACAGCAGCTTATGTAGTCCCCCTCATTTATCCCTAGTCCCAGCATGTTGTCCTACGAAAACGGTGGTTATAGGGTCTTATGGGTAATGAATTAGGACACGCAGTGGAATATACTTTAATAACTGCAATAGGCATTTAAATTTTATTGTATTCAGAAGTGTTGTTAATTTATATCTATAGATTTTCCTAATCTGTATCATCGCTCAACGTATTGCGGGAAAACCCGACTATCCCACTGCAGGTTTCTTGAAGTGGTTAGGAGGTCATCTAGTTCAACTTATCTGGGGTCTAACTTACCGTTCCGGAGTTAGATTAGTGAAGTCCGCCGCGCGAAGCGCCGCGCACACCTTCAATTTAGATGCGGAACAACTTACTCCCAGCGGCCGCGGGAAACAACTTCAACTGCATTTTGTCACTTTAAACTTACTTTTAAAAATTGCCTTCTCTGCTTATCCCATTTCGCCGCCTCCAAAAACCCTAAAACCACAGTTTTCGTAGGAGAAAATGCTAGGATTAGGGGTATATTAGGGAACTACATAAGCTACTTTTGCCGAAAAGAGTGCTGTCAACCTCAGTACAATGGGAGCAAATAGGGCGGAATTAGACTAAATCCAACGTTTATTGATACCCAAGGAATTTCCTACGCTAGTAAACGCTGCGGATCAAAACGTCATGCTTAAGCATGTTGTGCTTTAAAAGAAAATTAAACTAAACCAGAAAAGATTTAACTATATATTTTAAGAGAACGGAAAATTTGCCTTCATGAAAATTAGGTAAACGCAAGTTTGGGGAATTGCATTGTTATCCGGAAGAGAAGAATGCATTCAGTTTAGAAAATTACGTTTTGCAAACCTGGTATTTTTCATGCCATAGAATAAAATAATGGACTTGTGCAGCTGTAAGTTTTGTTTTACCACACCGAAATTAAGAACCGCAAACAAGCATATACATATATATGAATCGAAAATACTTCGGATAATTGAATTGTACTCGTGTATTTTCAAGCAGGTATCACTAGCCCGTTGTCAGAAAAAGTGAAAAGTGAGGCGTCGGATTGTCCACCTAGCGCGTTTGTTGGGGGGAGGCAGGGGGTGGAGAGTCAGGCGGACAGACTTTAATGGAAGAGTGGATGATAAACATGTCACGCTTATTGTTAGGGGTGAATGGGGGTTCTGAAATTCAGATAGGGGTTCATGTGTCGGGGTATGCAGCATCGGTGCACTTCCAGCCCGACAAGTATTAACGACCACGTCGATCTTGATTCAATTTACGAAGGCCTGCGTGCACGGCTCACTGACTCGCTTGTCAATACTCGGCCGAATGTAAATGAACTTATGCAGCTAACCCCGACACGTGAACGCTTACCTGGCTTTCAAAACCCCCCTTAACCCCTAACAATAACCATGACATTTTTATCCTCCCCTCTTCCATTAACGAAGACCTTCTTTCTTATCATTAGATCATCTCGGAATGAAGACTACTCCGCTTATCAAAGCATATATATGTATGAACACCCACGACCTGCCGTCAATTTTCTCTGTAAAGCCCTAGGCAAACGATATCTAAAAATGTTCAATCAACAGTTAAGTATGAGCGAATACGGAAGGTTGAAACGTAATGGGCCTAAGACCTTCAGTTTCTGCAGTTTCTGGCACTCTGTTGTGCATCTCCAATCTTAGAACGTGGTCTTCAAGTAAAAAAGATGTCCTTCAAACTGCTCCAGTATACAAAGAAAAGTGTGTTCCTTCCTTTTAGGCAAAAGGTTTATCCCTTATTTTCGGAGAAGTCAAAAAACAATCAGGGTTCCCCGTTTTCACCTTAGCCTTCGAAAAAGGTAAAGTACGCAGATATTTGATGTCGAAATATCTGACGAAAGCGTGTTTTCAGGCGGTTACTCGTCATAGGCATATCAGTTTATGACCTTTATTGTGGACGTTCAGTTTTCACGATAGTGAGTTGAAAAGTTAGGGTGATTCTAAAACCATAACCCAAACGCACTATGTGACGGTCTGGCGGATTCACGTTGTGAGCTCCTGGGCAAATTAGAACCGTATTGTTCCTCCACTAGATTGGCGAAGCACGCATATTCATAAGAAAGAATGTCCAAGAAGCACTATTTAGG